ATGGGAGACCTTGGAGGAGGTGGGAATGGGGGTGGGGTGGGGTGGGGAAAGCTGGGGGGCGGGAGGAGGGAGAACAGGGGAATCTGTGGTTGGTATGTAAAATGAATAGAAAATCTCTTAATAATAGTAATAATAATAATCTAAAAAAGAAAAGAAAAGAGGTACCAGGGCAAAGCTGAGTTGGATGAGGGAGGGGAGCAGTGACTGAGTTTTAGGCTAAGGAACCAGCATGCGCGCAGTCTGAGGCAGGCAGGAGTCTGGCTTGATTAAGGAACTGAAAAAAGCCGGGGTTGCTGCACCCAGAAACTGAGACGCTTACCAGCAGGAAGTAAGCAAGCCAGGCAGGGGAAGCCGTGCTGGCAGAACCAGGTCAAGTGTGTTGTAAGTGTTCTTTTCTTTATGACCTGAAAAGGTTAAATTCCTGTGTGTGTGTGTGTGTGTGTGTGTGTGTGTGTGTGTGTGTGTGTGTGTAAAAGAGAATTAAAGAAGTAGGAAGATGGAAGATGGTTCCGTTGGTGAAGTGTTCCCATGTGAGCATAAGAACCTGAGTTCAGATCCCTAGCACCCACATAAAATATCAAGTACAGAGACACGTGTCTGGTCCCAGCTCTCAGGAGGATCCCTGGGGCTTCCAGGACAGCCAGTCTCAGAGCCCCAGGTTCAGTGAGAGACCTTATGTCAGCCAATTAGGAGGAAAGCAATTGAGCAGGACATCCAATGCTGACCTGTCTGGCGCGCGCGCGCGCACACAGACACACACAGACACACACAGACACACACACACACACACACACACACGAGGTTGAAAGATATAATCTGGTATGGTTTGCATCTTGCTATCGTACTGCCTAGTTTTATGTCAATCTGACACAAGCTAAAGTCATTTGAGAGGAGGGAACCTCAGTTGAAAAACAAAACAAAACAAAACAACCCTCCATAAGATCAGGCTACAGGCAGGTAAGTCTGTGTTGCGAATTTTCTTAATTAGTGTGGCCCTGGGATCTAAAAGAAAGTAAGCTGAGAAAACCATGAGGAGCAGGCCAGTAAGCAGCACCCCTCCATGGCTTCTCCTGCCTGCCTCCAGGTTCCTTTTTGGGTTTCTGCTTTGGCTTCCCTCAATAGACTGTGATTCAGGACTGTTAACCAAATAAACCTTTTCCTCCACCAGGTGCTTTTGTTATGATGTTTCATCACCAACAGTAACCCTAACTAAAACAAGGTGTGTGTGTGTGTGTGTGTGTGTGTGTGTGTGTGTGTGTGTGTGTGTGTG